ATTCTAATTAACCAGAAGAGTAAAGTCTATGTTGGTATCTAAAGTGTTGGATTATTTTTACTTTTCAAGAAATTATCATCAAAAGTTAAATAAGAAGTTAGCGCTGCAAAACTTTTAAAAACGCTAGTGTGTTTCTCCACCTCTTCCTTGGTTTCACATGTATGTCTTAATCTTGCTTAATTGTATTTGACATTGAAAATCTCTAAAGCTTTTTGTTTCCCACTAGTTACTAATTGCAAAATATGCCAGGTAACAGAAGGGCAGGAGGTGTTGGTATAATTAAAAAATGTGTGTGTGTGTGTAACTTTTTTTAAAAAAAATCTTATCCATTTAGGTAGTGACTTTCAATTAGCCTTTCTGCTAATATCAGGTCACTAAACTCCATAGCTGATGCTTTATTCCTTCATTTGGGTTGTCAGTCGTTTGCTTCAGTTGGCTGGCAAAGGTGGCTGTATATCCATTACGAGCAACACAGCACTTTGCATTTCTGAATTGACAAGCAGCTATATTGACCTAGCGCTTATTATGGGTCAACAGCTGCGTTAACCAACGGAAGGACTGAGGGGCAATTAAAATGAATTGGCAAAAATATATCTTCCTAATTTACTCCAATTTGTTATTTATGCTAACATTGTATGGCTTCTATGGTGACACTAAACAGAATGGACCCAATAATGGCAATTAACATAAAAATATAATGGCTAATCAAATTGACAGCAACTGTTTCTCATCATCTCGACACACAATACATTATCAAAACAAACTATTATGAAGGAGGTAATTTCAGTGTTCTATTCAACCTGCTGCATGTGTGCAGTCAGGGAGATGTGTACCAGCAATTACTGCTGAATCCAAAAAACTAAACAAATAACTTAATCGCTGTCGTCCTCCTTTTTTCCTTCTTCAGGAAGCAGTAATCAGGATTTACTAAAAATAAGTGGTGTATAATAGTATAATGATGATGCATATCATAGAATAGCTAATAAGGAATAAAATAAGCTTCTGTATTATATAAAATTAATTTGTGTGAAGGAAGGATGAAAATATAGTATTAGGATGACAACAAAAAATAACTTTGAAGAATCTTTAAAGACCTGATTTGCAGATCTTGATTGGGTTTGTATGCCATGTGAAATTTTAAAAATAAATCTGTTATTATTAGAACATTCCTCATTTACACAGAATTTTGACCAGTCAGTATGACAAGTTTTCCCTTCCTTACTGAGGATAGCAATACTTAGCAATAAAAGTATAGATCTGGAAGTCCATGAAGCTCTTGTAGTTCAGATAGCCAGCCTTGGCATAAAACAGGGTTCCTTAACTCAGAGTTTGTCTCAAACTTTGACCTGTCAAAACTGCCTGTACTTTTTTCTCGTGGTGAACATATTTTCCCCTTCTGCTTAGTTGCAACACTGTCACCACATTCTGTGCTTATTTATTAATTCGTTTATATCCTACCTTTCATTCAAGGAAGATAATGTGTGTGGTTCTGTACTACAAATGAGGTAGTTCAAGGTGAAAGATAGTAACTGACTCAAAGTCACCCAGTGAGCTTCATTATGTGTACACGAATTTGAATCTCCCATTTCCATATGCTAATCAAACATTATAATTACTTTAGATCTGACTATATCTGACTTCTCCTTTGACTAAACTTCTCTTTAACTGGAAACTTGCATACTTTCCCCACTCATTGTTTGTTGTTGCTACACTGGTGACATCTGGTTCCTTTATTCTTTCCTGAATAAAGGAAAGAATAAATTTCCTTTATTTCCTTTATTCTTTCCTGTCTGGTCAACATACACTGTTATTGTCCTTATGCTCTTACCTGCATAAATCAGTTTAATACTTTTTTTTAAAAAAAATTGATGATTTACATTCCTTGTCCCGCCAAGACTGCTCCTTGAGTAAGATGACTAACTTTATGATGATGGTAGAACTCCAAAGACATGAATGATATGAATTATCTAGGTCTTTTTCAGTGTGGCTTCATTGCTGTTTTGGGAACTTAAATATGTTTTCCCTGGTTGGTGATCTGTTCTGAAAAATATACAGGAAGAATATTATGCTTTCTCTGGGTCTCCCAGCACTTTCCTGTATTATGTCTGTGGAAGTGGACTTGTCCACAAAAGCTCACATTAAAATATAACAGTTAAGGTACCACCACACTTTTGTCTTTTTTATTTGTTCTTTTATTTTCATTACTCTAAATTTTTAACCTATAGTTCCTGTATTTAGTTATTTTAATCATTTGTAGATTAGTTACTATCTGATTTAGTAGTGATTTAAATGCAAATAAGATAAACCTCACATTAGGTTCAACATTAACATAGAGAATAATTAGAATTATTGGCAGTATTAAATTTTTGGGAAATGCCCAAGGGAACAAATGTGTATGTCTTCAGCCAATATCACCAACTATCATCTATAGCAGTGAGTATCATAGTTTAAGTGAGAATTATGTGATAAATGTGCCCTGAAGCTCCCACCATTAAACTTCATTAGTTGACTTCCTATAATAAACTTCTCTGTGTCCACTTTCTCTACATCTAGTGTAATTTTGCAAACCTTCATTATGTTCCCATTTGCAAGCCTTTTTATAAGCCTTACAAGTCCCTCTCCCAAATAAAAGGCCAAAAATGTATAACTTTTCCTCATGGGTGGTTGTTCCAGCCTTGCTCATCATTTTGGTTACCCGTATCTGCACCCTTGCTAGCCATCTCTGTAGTCTGTTGTTTACTCCACAGAAATCTGAACTGTACAGATTATTCCTAGCAAGGTTTCAAACATGCATATACTGTAAAGATATTACAATAATGCAATTTTAATTTTCTATCCTTTTCCTAATGTCCTCATAGTGTGGGCTTCACCCTTTTCACAGTTTCCAAACACTGGATTGATGCTTTCATTGAGCTTTCTGCCAGAACTGCCCAAATGTATCAGTTAGTCCTGGTTTAGACAACTATCAGTACTTATTTAAGAAATTTGCTGCTCTAACATGCATCACTGTTTGCCACTTTAATGCCCACTGATCTAGTTTACACCTTTTTATTTTTATTTGCAATCCCTTTTTGGTTTTCTTATGATGCTGCATATTTTGATGCCATGAACAAATTTCACCACATAACAACAGGGTCGAATCCCCACTTGGGCATGGAAACTCACTGGGATATGGAATTAGTTAAAACACTCCTCAAATATCTCACTTACCTCGAAAGTCCTATTAGGGTCACAGTAAGTCAGTTCCTATTGCAGATTGGCAAGAAATAAGGGGAAAAGTACCATTTGTTACACAATTTCTTACATTGTGAAAATCGTCCATTTATTCCTACTCTGTTTTGTGTTCTTTAACCAGTTACCATTGCATCAAATGATCCATCCTCTTAACCAGTGACTCTTGTTGCTCATCTGCAACAGAGAAGTATAATTTCATAAAACATGCCTGAATATGTTGAATAAGAACACAGTTAATTAATTCATTTAAATATCTGTATAATACAGGCAGAATACAAAGGCCTATGGAAGGGAAGTGTCATTGTCTAGAATTGATGTAAATTATTGACACATTTGAATGATTTTAACTGCCCACTGTAGGCATCAACAAGTGGTGATTTGTGTTTCTTTTTTCTTAATTTGTCCTCGTGCAGATTGTTCTTAAATACTAGTCAGGCATTGTTGATCTATTCTCGCAGTTTGTTGGCATTGTATTGTTGGTCTTAAAAAATCTGATTTAGATCTTTAGGCTCTGAGCCCCATCCAGAGAGGCTGAGTAGACAGAGTTGTACCATAGAGCTTGGATTCTATTCTATATTCTGGGCAGATGAAACTGTGACATGCAAATACATATATAAATCAACAATTTTCTAGTGCCATGTGGTGCTTATTTGTCCATTAGGTTGCTACGCTTTCAGTTTTGTCCTGAAAGTGAAACTGTGTGAACTTTTTTTTCCTCCTTCTGAACACCACATTTTATTCAATTTGATAGTCAATCTGATTTCTCTCAAGTGCTTGTAGAAGAGATTAGGTATACTAGTGTGCATATTATTTATATCTTGGCTTTGTTCTGGCCCATTTCATGTTTCATTTAGTCAATTAAATGTAAAAAAACCCTGTAAACGTTAGAGTGTGTGGTAATCTATGGTATGATGTTATGGGTGCCATACAGAAATCTGTAGTAGACTAAGAAATCATGAAACTTGTAAAATACAGAAATCTAAACTCCTTGGTTGATTAATGAGAAATGAAAAGTACAGATTGCTACATTGAGGGTAAAATAAATAGAAAGAAACTTGGGAAGGAGGAGAAATTTTGACTGAAAAATCTTAGAGAATAATTTTAGCCAAGACAAGAACATTGTTTAGAGATGATCAGAATAGCCGTGTAGTCTCAGGTAGGAGAGAATCAAGAAGCAAACTACTAAATGTATAAGTTGACTAAATGTCAACATGCTTCAGCCATATTGGCATAGTATTTTAAGACATCTATAATAGTGTGAATAAATTACCCAGCCTTATGAAGCAGCTGACACTGATTAGCCTTGAAGCTATGGAATTCAATCAGATCATACACAAAGAGCTATTATAAATTGTGTTTGGCTTTAAGAATGAAAGTTAAAAGTAAGTTCTGATGAGATAAAACCATTCATTTATTGGTAAAATATCAATTGATCTTGTATTACTTAGATCAAACAACTTACCCATATTAACAACAGACAAAACAACAGCTATTTGCATTGGAAGGTTTTAGAATGTGAACTAAATGGTTTAAAATTATGTCATACCACACAGTTCAACTAAGTTGCTTCATAAACTACCTTAAAAGTTAAAGACTGACATGACAGCAAAAGTTTTTAAATCCAATAAATAATAATGCAATGACATAATTGTGTATAAACATTTGAACTGAACATGTTTTTTTCCTGTTTTTGTTAGTTTGTTTATCTTTGGTTACTTTTACTAATGTAACAGTACCATTGCATTTGTATTCTTTTTTCATTACAGTACTCTGACAAGGCCCTATTCACCCAGCTATGCTTTTACCGGTACATTTTTGATATGGACTATGCAAAGGAGAAACTTACTGCTCAAGAAAAAGGTATGTTAGATTAGCCTATGTGTTTTAAGCAGACATAAAAATCAGCCCTATTCTGTTGTTACTATCCAGTCGGCATCATTTTGCTAGGATCATTTACACAGATAGTTGACTGCATGCTTTCAGAAATTCTGTATATAACAAGGAAGCTGCATGTCATAACAATCAGCTGTACATCCCTCATTCTGTTGGAGGGGAAAACAATATCTACCTTTGATACCTTTATAAGACAAGCATTTCAACATTATCTGGTTAAAGTCTATGTTGGTATCTAAAGTCTTGGACAAACATTATAATGTTATTTTGTACACTGCTAGTTACACTAGGGCAATGATGGCGAACCTATGGCACACGTGCCACAGCTGGCAATCACAGCCCTCTCTGTGGGCATATGAGCCATAAGTCGCCATAGAGAAGTACTTACCTATCCTCCAATCCCAGATTTTGGGACTCTCCTCTGCTGGTGCAGTGGTCCAGCAGAGGAGTGCAATGACAACCATTACCGGTCTAATCCAATGGGGGATTGGAGGACCGGTAAGTATTTCTTTGTTAATACCGCCCATAGGAAGACAAACAAACAAACACTTAACCCTTGCAGTGCAGGAGCAGTTGTTTTCCTAAACTAAAACCTCAGCATTCGGGTTTTAATTGCAGTGTTGGCACTTTGAAATAAATACAGTAAGTTGATTTTGTTTTGCAGTTTGGGCACTCGGGCTCAAAAAAGTTCACCATCACTGCACTAGGATGTCTACTGTAATATTAGTAAATGCTTATCTTTGTAATATTTGTAAATGCTTATGTAGCTTTTCTCATTTAGTCTGATTTATTGTATTCGGTATAATCATTTAGGGTAATCTGCAGTGTGCATATCTTCGACTGTTGTGGAAGGGACAGATGCAGATCCATTCCCTGCCATTGTGATTTATATTGTGTATTTTTATTCTTTTGAGATCATTGCAGCAGTGCAAATTCTGAGATGCTATTTCCTTTCCCAGTAGCATTTCCTCTAAACTGCTGTGATGTAACAGAATGCATGTGGCATTGTAGTTCCTATAGAGAAAAAGGGTCAGTCACAGACTTCAAGAATTACTATTACTACTGGGAATATAGCAGAAGATTCATCTAAGTATGAGGGGGAAAGGGTTTGAAAAGTGCTTCACACTGGGATTGTGGATAGAGAAAACTCCTAAAAGCAAAGGTCTGGGAGCAGGAAAGAAGGAAAGAAAGAAATTATATATAACATTATTCTTTCTTTTTCTTTTACGTGTGTGTGTGTGTGTGTGTGTGTGTGTGTGTGTGAGTGAGTGAGAAGAACTATCCAAAACTTCTCAGTTCTCCAGTATTTTATTTAGTAAGACTTTGTTCCAAGTTGAGATATATTTAGAAAAAAGTTTCTGATGAACTTTAATATAAACGTTTCTCCTTATCGTATGTGAAAAAGCATTACAGTGAATACTTGATTTGCTCCCAGTGAAGGGACTGCAGCATATATCCTAGCTGAAGGTGGAAGGCTTTATCTTCAACAGTAAACTGCAGTGGAAGATACAGATTGTTGTAATTGTTGGATTTGTTTGATGGTAAAGTTTAAAGTTACTGAAGATATCAGAATAGTATCAGAAAGTTAAAAAGAGAGGTTATGTTGAAATGTTTATTGATCTAAAAAGTGAGATGCTAAAAGAATTGACTGTCCTTTCAGAGTTTATTTCAGTGCTCACTGAGATCTTCATGCTATTCATTTTTCTACTGTGGATTTATAAAACAAACCAAATGCACGTTCAGTAGATACTTTTACACAGTTATAGCTGCATTTTATACTCCCACCTTCATAAAAATACTAAACATGCTCAGTTTACTTTCTGGATGAATAAACTGTAAAATTGCATTTAAAAAAATAAAATGGTTAAGCTTTATGCCCTACATGCAAAACACAAAACCTAACTTAGAATATTTGTTTGTATCCTGTAATTTAAACATTGTTTTTATCCTTCGGTGTTCATAACTTGGTGTGCCAAATATCAGTGCAAAGTGATTTTTATGGATGAGTTGCTAGAAAGCTTTACAAGGAGACTATTCATAATAGCAATATTTCTCAGAGTTACTAATGGGTGGATCGTCAACATGTCTCTGTTAGCAACTGATGATTATTGAGAGAGGAATTGGCAAGATGCTGTAGCTGTGTCTCAGAGGATATCTAGAATGTAATGAAGTGTTAAAGACTGAACATTTCCACGAATGAGGATGGACTGCTCTCTAGTAGTCCTAGTACATTTTGCTTGCAAGTGGCATTGTTAGAATTTTATATATGTTGAAACAAAACACATTGTTACAATATGGCTGATAAAGTGCTTTGGTACCATCATGTTAATAACTGGAGTGGCTTTGGAAATTGGTTTGTCAAATGTAACTAGTAAAAAATGTGGCTTAGATCCATGTGGCAGTAATGAAGCAAAAAGCTGTGCTGGCATAACTGGATGTAACAGTTGCACAAGTAATAGCACAAACAACAACATGTTCATGCAGTCTCTTGTGCTTCTAACCGCGTAACAGAAAACGGTACTGGATTTTGCCCTTGCACTAATGCCTTACGTCCCCAGATGGTCTTGGACTAAAACACATATATAGTTTTTTTATACTTTTGTACAGTTCATATACATATGAAGCATATACAGTAGTGAAACAGACCTGATGGTGTCATTATAGTTTGGGTGGATAATGCTCTAGTTTATTATTATTTTTAAGTCTACTCAGTTTAGAAGGAGGTAATTCAATACAGAACTTCTTCACAAGGTTTACTGGAATGCTGCTAGTTAAATCCTTACAGTACGAGTAGATGTTGTCTAGAGGGGCGGGGTAAAAATCAAAAATAAATAAATAAATAAGCAAAAAAAAAAATACAGTCAGTACAGTACAGTACCAGGTAGTACCAGGCAGAAGGCAGTCTGAAGTCTCTCTCCGTATCCACACTTGAACGAGGTAGCAGACAAGCAGCCTCTTCGCTGCCCAACAGTTAACTGAAAGTTCAAATTTCCTGCCTTCCCTGTAGTTTTTTGTTCATAAGTCAAAGCTCTGTTTGCAAGTCAAAGCAAAATGTTGCAGACGGAGCTGTTTGTAACTCAAAATGTTTGCAGGTTGAATAAATAAATAAATAAATAAGCAAGCAAGCAAGCAAGCAAGCTCTGGGACAAGTTAAATCTTTCCTGAAGAAATTAGTCCAGTTTGCAATTTGGACTAAAGAACTAAATAAACTTTCTAGGCAATAATTGTTAAAACATTTAAATGCTTTCAGAATTATAGAAAATATGATATGAGATATTCCCCCCCTTTTTTAACTACAACATCCAGAAATCTGCTGGAGTTGTCTCAGCTCGAATTCTGGTGGAATTGTCTCAGCTAGAATAAAAAAGTCCTCTTTGATATACAGTAATTTACAGCTTGTGTATAAAAATCCATCCATTTCTGAGTTCTACGGCAGACAAACAGGCTGGGTGGGGCTAAGGTATGTGGTACTGAAAGTGAAAGTGTTTTTTTTAAAATCGAGGCTTGAACAATAGTTTACTATAGTCATTTCAAAATAATCCAGCCAAGCAAGCTCACTGTACCATAACATCTTGACAACTGAGCATATTTGTGTTACAGTTTATAGAGAGGTGGTGTTTGCAAGTCTTACTGTATGCCCTCCTTGTAGTTGCAGTATCTTGGAGCTGCAGTATTCTGTTGTTCTAATATTCTGGATTTTCAGGCCTGTGGGATTTCAAATGCTACAGAGCCTTATTCCTGTCGGGTTTGCAGAATTTTAGTCGTAATAATGATGTTATCATAATAGTGACAGTTTGCCAGATTCTAAGTTATAAACTTTTGGAGTTACAGTAGGTGTAGATTCTTGTTGAAAATTTATTCTTGCAGAAAGAGATTGTTTACAGATTGTAAAAGGTGTGGACATCTGAAAGAATTATAATTCTTCATGGTCTCCGTGAATCACACATATGGGTTGCTTCTGTGCTTCCACAAAGCTCCTCTCGGAACATTCTAGAGCTAAAGAGAAAGGCCTTTAGTACACTCCCCTGCTGCATCACAAACATTCACATGTCCAACAGCCTTCCTTCACTTCCTCTTTTGCCAAGGAAGCTTCTCAGGAACGTTCTTTGAGCATACTCACTTTCATTTTCTTACCTCATTTTCCTCAATTTATCCTCAACTCTTCTCTCTTCACCTCTTCATCATCCATTTATTTTTGTGTTTTTCCTTTAAAAAAAGAAAGAAAAAGATAGTTAGTCTTGAGGGGGGAGTTATTATTCTGTTCTTTCCCTGGCTGTTTAGGTACCTGCAGGCCCATTCAAAACATGCCTCAGCTGCAGAAATAAGATCTCACTTTCTGACAGACACTCTCAGCTGTTGGGGGGGGGGGAAGAGCACAAGACACAGGCTTCCCATATTGTAGAAAATTCACAAAGGCTGCCTTTAAAAATTGGCAACATAAACTGAAGGTTTGGCTGTGGAAAAAGTCTCTTCGTGCTCAGATTACTTCTAGCTCCCATTCAAAATTTTCAGCATCATCTTCCAAATGAAAGACTATGGCCTCTAGTCAGTTAAAATCAGCCTCCTAGACCTCCAAACAATCTGTCCATGCTGAGAGACATTTATGGCCCTCCTCCAGAAACTGACACCACATACTCCACCTCCACAGATTCCTTGGTACCAAAACTGGCTCAACTTCCAAGTAATGTAGGAGAAAGCAAGAAATCTTCAGACCCTGGTACTGTCCCTACTAAAAAGTTAAAACACAAATCTAAATCACAGGACAAAGTCTCTGAATTGACCGACCTCAAGAACTATTACATTCCTTGGGGCTCTCCAATTACCCTATGGATACCTAACCACCTGATATTGTTTCCCTAGATCACCATCATTTTCTTTGTTTTGTTCTCGGACACTTCATTTCAGTTCAAGGCAAAGTGTATTGCACCAGTTGCTGCCTACCTCCATGGTATTACAGTCTTGTAGCA